AAAGTCACCTGGGCCTGGTGCTTTTTAGAGAGGGAAACCTTGGAGGGCCCTTTCATTGTCTTCTGTTGTTGTTTTCCTATAGGGTCTTCTATGAGCTCATTTTGGTCAGTTACATTTTATGGAGCAGAGGCTGGGAAACTAGAGCCTGAAGAAGGCCAAATCTAGATACTCCCTGCTTTTGTATATGAAGTTTTATTGGAACACAATCTTATCCATTCATTTGCGTGTGGTCTATGGCTGTTTTGTGCTACAACAGCAGAGCTGAGTAGTTGCAGCAGAGACCTAATGGCCTGCAAAGCCCACAGTCTTGACTCTCTGGCCCTTTACAGGAAAGATTTGCCCAGACATGTTACAGAACATGTTTAGTTTAGCTGGCTTTCTGTTTTATTGGCATAGGTTGTACGTAGTATTTTCTTGTCTTTCTAGAATCTCTAAATTTGAAATTGTCTTTTTTTTATCCCAAGGACTATTTCTGTGTCCGTCCCCCCCCCTCCCCAGTATTTGGCAGTACTAGTTTCGTCTGACTTATTGTAACACTGTTATGTTGGTGATGTTGGTGTTCCATCTTAGGCTGTTTCTTAAAAGTATGTTAGTAAGAAAAAGGAATGTATGCTTGCATTGATCATTGAAACCACCTGACACTGGTGATTTAAAAATGTCTCCATTTCTTCTATGCTAATTAATCTGTGTGTTTTTCCTCCCTCTTCTGGGATCATTGTTAAATACTTCCCTCCTCCAGCTTTTCAAATTATTTATAGAGTTGAGCCTAAAGAAATATTTTAATTTTAGAAAAATCTTCTCTTTTTTTCCATTTAAAATTTTAAAAAATCAGGTTAACCAGTAGTTTATTCGTTTTTCATAGAATTGAGCCTTGGATTTATTGGTTCACTTTTAAAGTCATTGGTTTCTACTTTTATCTTTACTAATTCCTCCTTTCTGCTTCCTTTGGTTTGTTTTTTACTTGAGCTGGATGTATTATATTCATTGTTTGTTGAAAATAATTAAGGCTATGAATTTTTCTTGGAGCACTAGTTTAGCCATATCATAAAATATATTATGTGTATTGTTTTCACTATTATTTTCTTGATATCTCTGCAGTTTTGGTACTTATTTACTCAACTCAAATTTCATTTAAGGCAGTTTTATTTGCTAGTGGTGTTGTTTCTAGTGTGATTGCATTGTAATTCAGAAATGTCTGTAGTATTCCTAGTTTTTGCGATTTGTTGATGTTTTCTTTAGAGAGTGCGTGTGTACTTTTTATGACTGTTTCTTGGATACTTGTCAAAAAGGTGTTATCTGTTTTCAGAGTATATCATTTTATTTTGGGGGGCTTTGTTTGTTTTCAGTTTTTCTCTTTCTGTCTCCATTTGGTTTTACATGTTTTGAGACTAAGGTTTGGTATATGAAGGTTCTTAGCTATTTATATCTTTTTAATTGGTTTCTTTTATAAATACAAAGTATCTCTTATCCTTTATAATGCTTTTCTCCTTGAATTTTTTAAATCTCATATTACTGTTGCTTTCTTTAAATTTTGTTAACATTTCTTGGTAGTACCTATTTCTATATCCCCCTTACCCCCAATTTTTCTGCATTGTTTTGTTTTAGGAGCAATTTTTGCAAAGTATAGTCCTTAAATTTGATTTTTCTTAACTTAGTTTAAGAGCGTTTATTAAGTGAATTTAACACGTGCACATTTATTGAGATTACAGATGTTTTGGGGCTTATTCTCAGCATCTCATTTTGTGTCACATATTAACCACAATATTGGGATGGTTCTTTTTATTGCATTTTCTGTATCTGTTGAGTGGATCGGGTTTTATTTTCACTTTTTTCTCCTTCCAGTGGTTTGGATATATACTGACATAAGTTTTAACTACACATGCAAAATAGCCAGTATTATACATTTTTTATTTATATCTGTTACCCAGCAGTTCCACCCTTGCCCTCCATGCCCCCTGTTTACACTGTTAGAGTCTCCTTTACTCTTCACTACTACATCCCATGTTCACACCTGAGATTTAACTTCTGGTTACTTGCTTTCATTTTGTAATTAATAATACATTCTCTTAATGTTTTTACTGATTTTAGTGAAGTTTTCTGGCCCCAGAACTGAGTACCTGTCTCAGCCTTAGTTTCTTCCTGCACTTGGCTGATAAGAATAGCAGTTGTTTGAAGTAGGAGTGGGGTTGCTGGTCGCATGTGAATCCTGCTTTCGGATTCCTGGTCACTTCCGATTAGTGTTAGGTTCTCATACATGTCTTCATGTGGGCCATTCAGTGTGTCATGAGGTTATCTTCTGATTCCTTGACTGAACATTAAAGAACATTTTCTTGTTGCCATTTCACACAAATAATATCTTGTCTGGGTATTAAATTGCTGCCACCATCATTTCCTTCTAATACAGTGGCAGACAAGTCTGTTTTTAGCAGAGGGTAACTATCCCACTTGAAGGTATATTCAGTACCAGATGCCATGCTGAGCCCAGTACTAATAGTAGTGTGTAAAAGAGGAGTTAAGGTTGTTGTTTCCTTGTAATTATATAATTATATATACTGC